ATCCTGTCATTGTTAGCTACCCCTGCTATTGTTATATAACATTATTATATATCCTGTCATTGTTAGCTATCCCTTCTATTGTTATATAACATATAATGATATACCCTGTCATTGTTAGCTATCCCTGCTATTGTCATATAACATTATTATATATCCTGTCATTGTTAGCTACCCCTGCTATTGTTATATAACATTATTATATATCCTGTCATTGTTAGCTATCCCTTCTATTGTTATATAACATATTATGATATACATTGTCATTGTTAGCTATCCCTGCTATTGTTATATAACATTATTATATATCCTGTCATTGTTAGCTACCCCTGCTATTGTTATATAACATTATTATATATCCTGTCATTGTTAGCTATCCCTTCTATTGTTATATAACATATTATGATATACCCTGTCATTGTTAACTACCCTCGCTATTGTTATATAACATTATTATATATCCTGTCATTGTTAGCTATCCCTGCTATTGTTATATAACATCTTATGATATACATTGTCATTGTTAGCTACCCCTGCTATTGTTATATAACATACTATGATATACATTGTCATTGTTAGCTACCCCTGTTATTGTTATATAACATATTATCATATACCCTGTCATTGTTAGCTACCCCTGCTATTGTTACATAACATATTATCATATACATTGTCATTGTTAGCTACCCCTGCTATTGTTATATAACATATTATGATATACATTGTAGCTACCCCTGCTATTGTTATATAACATTATTATATATCCTGTCATTGTTAGCTATCCCTGCTATTGTTATATAACATATTATGATAAACCCTGTCATTGTTAGCTACCCCTGCTATTGTTATATAACATTATTATATATTCTGTCATTGTTAGCTACCCCTGATATTGTTATATAACATTATTATATATCGTGTCATTGTTAGCTATCCCTTCTATTGTTATATAACATATTATGATATACCCTGTCATTGTTAGCTATCCCTGCTATTGTTATATAACATTATTATAT